AAAGTCCGGGAGACTAAGCCTCCCCATCCTCCCTCCCCAGGAGCTTGCTGACGGGACTTTTTCCAAGACAGACGTTTGTCCTTCTGGCCGCCCATGTAGATAGCAGGTTAAAAATTCAACAGAAAATCACCCACAGCCTTCACAGGTGTAAACACAGTCTATTAGAAAGAAAAGACACCCCTCAAGTGGGCGAACATTGGAGGGGCATCTATCTGATAAGGATATGTCTGTTTCCTATTGCTGCTATGACACCAGCACCACAAGGGGTGGTCTTAGCGAACAGAAATGTGGTCTCGCACCGGGTAAAAAGCTAGGGCAGCGGTTCTCAACCTGTGGGTCTCGACCCCTTGAGGGTTGACGGACCCTTTCAGAGGGGTTGCCTGATTCATAACAGTAGCAAAATGACAGTGATGAAGTAGCAATGAAAATCATGTCATGCTTGGGGGTCGCTACAACATGAGGAACTGTATGAAAGGGCCATGGCACTAGGGAGGTTGAGAACCACTGCTCTAGGAGAAAGCTTCCTCTCTGGGCCGGATGTGGGCAGGTCTGTGTCTCAGGTCAGTGGAGCCAGCCTTTCCTGGAGGTCTCCACGTGGCTTGGCCTCTCTTCCTTGGCTCTAGTAAGTTCTCGGCGCAGGGACTCCTGGACCATAGGAAGGGCTCCTCTCCCAGGTCTTTGCTCTCGGTGCTATTCTGATCCTCTCTCTCTCTTCGAGTCTCGGTCCTTTTCTCCCTTGTAAGACTAAAGGGCCATGGTCAGGGCTGTAACCTAGTCAGGGGGTTGTCCCACCCCTAGTTCCCTTACAACTGATGGGTGGATCATCTCAGATCACAGCTTGGGGGATGATCACAGCTTACATCATCACCGAATGGCCAACTTACATCATCACCTCGCTGCCTAATTACATCATTACCTAGCTGCCTAATTAATTACATTATTACCTAGCTGTCAACTTATATCACCTGACCACCAACTTACATCCTTATCTAACTGCCTAATACATCATCATATAACTGCCTAATCATACTATTACATAACTGCCTAATTGCAGCCTCACCTAACTGCCTCATCACAGCATCCCTGAACTGCCTGATTACATCATCACCTACTTGCCTATTACATCATCACCTACCTGTCTATATTACATCATCATACCTAACTGACTCATTACATCATCACCTAACTGCTTGATTACATCATTATGTAATTACCAAACCACTGAGAATCATGGGCCAGCCAATTTGACCCAGATTTCCAGAGGGCACGACTTAAACCTGACAGAGGGTACTATCTTTATAAAGCCACACCCATGACCTTTGAGTTGATTCCAACTCATAGCAATGCAACAGGGCCCTATGGGACGGGGTAGAACTGTCCCCATGGGTTCCCAAGCCTGTACATCTCTATGGGAGCAAAACACCTTTTTCTTCTCCCGAGGAGCAGCTGGTAGTTTCAAACTGCTAACCTCGTGGTTAACGGGCTAACATGTAGCTCACTACACCATCAGGGTTCCTTTTATCATAAACCAAAAACCAAACCCATTGCCAATACGCACTCATAGCGATCCTACAGGACAGGGTAGTACTGCCCCTGTGAGTGTCCTAGACGGTATGCAGCTCTTTACAGGAGGTGAAAGCGCTGTTTTTTCCTGCATCTTGATAGATACATATGTATACATCCTTCTCCCGTGGAGTAGCAGGTGGGTTTGAACCACCGACCTTGCCCTTAGCAGGTCAACACGTTCAAAACCACCTGGGCTGCCCTCTCACCCCCATTAGAATGACAATTCTAATTATCATTCTAGAATGACAGAAACTGGAGACCAGTGAGTATTTGGCAAGGCAGCAGGGAAACAAGACTTCCCTGTTGGGAATGTAGAACGGTGCAGCTGCTGTGGAACACGTTGGCAGTTCCTGAAATAACAGGCCACATGTGGAACGACCGTATGAGCCACCAGTGCAAACCCTAGGCCTACGCTCAGAGGACATGAACACTGCAAATGGAAACCTGCTGCCGACCGGTTCGCCGTGGTGCTGTTCACAGCCTCTGATGGGTGTAAGCAGTGTCATCCATGGATAACAGACAAACACAGCCTGGTTCATCCACACAATAGAACAAGGTTCAGTCCGAAAAAGGGATGAAGTCCTGCTAGAGACCCCAGCCCACCCCACATGCCGTTTAATCCATCCCTACTCCAAAGGCCCCATGCAGAA